GCTTTCTCAATAAATAACGTAAGGATCTAGATAGAAAATTAGTGGCCCAGAAAACTGAAGCGTGGTCGGAGTTGAAGACTAAACTGGGTGCAATCAGTTCGTCACACCTCCCAAAAGCAAGAGCCAATTGGTCAGATGTCACTTGATTCGACGCCTTTCGGACGTGACACGGGACAGGCAACAGTGATTTGGCTGCTGACGGTTGGGACTGATTGTCTACCGCGTGTCTGATGTGGAATTATCCGTGGACTGGCAGTGAAAGCCACAAGGAAGCCCTCCCCTCGATGGCACCCTTATTTCACACAACAACTAGTGGTTTGCGACTGCGCGGCTAGGAATATGTAGGTGCTTTGATGCTAAGTGTTGAAACAAATCACATCTTTTCCACATCCGGTATCTTGTTAGAATGGTTATCCTTCAAGCAATCGCTATACATAAGGACAGACAAGTGCAAATGTACCGCTGTTGACAACGACAAGGAGATGGTGCTGACACGGACCCGTCTGATTGTAAATGCGCACGCCAGAACTTGGGCCCACTGCAGGGTTTAAAACGCCGTTTGTTTGTGTGTATAGGCCATCAGATTAAATCAACAGTCGGAGTTCGCAATGAAGTGATAGCTTGAGTTTGACTTGCGCACACGAGACAGAAAAAGTACAATGCTAGTCAGTTGTGTGATGGAGAGAACTGTACACATCCGACAGTCCTAACTGCGTCTAAAACGGTTTACGTACGCAGGACGGTATAAAATGATGACGCAAGCAGGTATTCGTCCCGGATGGCTCGACGAAAGCGCAATTATCTTTGGGGCACGCGAGAAAGAGAGAAGACTAGTAAACGGAATTAAAGAGGATAAAAGTGGAGGGTGCAAAACACAAAGCAGTACATAATAACGCGCGGATATAAAAAAATGCAGCTGGCCTTGAAAAAGGACAGGAGCTAGGAAAGCGGAGGACGGATTGTCGCAGTGCATCAGTCGAACCAATCGACATTCCGAAGATGGGCCTGAGAGTTGACAATGGAGAGGCGCCGGCGATCCGACGGCAGTTGAAGCACGCGAACGGTATTTGTCGCACCCGTACCGGCTCTCCACCCGGTCACAATGACTACTTGATCGCCCCCACCGACAAAGCCACGACGCCAGGCATTGTCCATAGCGGCGTTCAAGCGAGCGTCCATATCCTCAGACCAGTTGGGAAGTTTCTCACCTAGTTTGGGTAGGTTGAACAGAAAGAGGGTAACACAAAACCGATTGGAATAAATAGCATTGAAAATGCAGCCTCCTTTAAAACGAACCCGAGCCAAGTGGTTATGGTGGAAGGTCAACCAAAGGAACGGCATAAATGAGCTGAGAAATCCGTGATTGATTAGCTCACTAATAAGCTACATACGAATTGATTACGAATAAAGGCGAACCAGGTGAAAAGCTGGAAAAATTGCCTTGGAGCTTTTAAAGCCGCGTGTGACTGGCCTTAAGTAGATTTTCATGTAAATGGAATTCATGCTTCGTGATCAAGTCATCACTTGGCCTCCTTCCTCTTCCCACATCCACACCCCGGTTCAGCAAACAACGCATGCCAGGAGATCCAGCCCCTAAGCATGCACAACACACGGTCCAGCCTCGGAGCCTGGCGCGCGATATAACGGTGCCGAGAGGTTCACCCGCACTTCATGCACCAAACAAGCTCAATGCTCACGTGGCGTTCCAACCAGACATGAGCTAACTGCGAATGCAGCGATGGTCGTACGTAACAAGCCTCTTTATACCCGTCAATCTGATGGGCTAGGTTTCGCAACTGTACGGGAGGGTTGAACGCTCGTCCGCGAGGGCGATATCGCGCCGGCGCCACGGGTGGCGGAGATTGGCAAAAGCGTATCGAGCTTTTGCTATACGGTTCAAGACCCCGTCTTTTATTTTACAGGCACTGACAGCGCTGCACAAATATCTGAATAACTACTATCTTATGCTCATCATCGGTCGGCGCAGGGTGTGGTCGCTGCCAATCTAGGGGGATAACTTCGCATTTGAAGGGCAGGAAGCATAGTGCGAAATGACGTGGAGGGGCCTAGAAATTCGGCCGTTGCTCTTCTCGTTGGAAATTACTCTGGTATCACCAACCGCGGAGTTCACATTTTGTTTGTATCTTTGAGACTTGCTTTTTCTGAACTAGCATCAAGGTCAATCATCTGCGATGAGCGAACCTAACACTAGTTCGATTTTCTTAATATGTTGAACATCACCCTATACAAGCGATATTTGTAGGATGCAAATATGCTGACGATGTGTTGCCAGGATGTACCACACCCACCATTCATAAATTCTCATTGCTTCAAGGTGGATAGAAAAATTTGGTGCAGTAACCTTTATCCAGATCCCTCACATTGAACGCTCCTAAATGCAGTGATGTGGTATATTCCATTCTTCGTGGCGATACGTTTCAGTCCCTCATAGATATCTACCTCACCCTTACTGTGAACGAAAATGCCATACACAGACGATTCACGGTCAAGTATTCTAAATGTCTTTGTCGCAGAATCTTTCTTGGTACACACACATCTGCAAAACATTCCATAGAGAAAGAAAACTTTCTTTCCATGCCCTCAGACCTAAGGAGCCATCAATACCCCGTATCTGGTATCTAAGTATGGAACATCATGCATTATGTCTCATTGGCTATACTGTCACTTTGTCATCTTTCCTGGACTGTGTCAGAAAGATTACATCTTATTAACAAGATCGGTAAAGTACATTTCTAGATGCAGGGGGCTTGTCTAGAGATACTTTAGTTGATCTGATCATTGCTCGACATCTTGATGCTTGCAATAATATGTTTAAAGTACTAAATGATCGACTTCATTCATCACACAGAGTTTTCAAAAACGCTTCCTTTCTTTTCTACGTGTTCAAAATTCAAAATTTTATTCTCCCATACTTCATCGTACGGTAATACCGTTTTGTCATATCTATCACGTTTGACTGTTGACAGAGCAAAAGTCATGAACATGCTGCGCGAGCGCTTGTTGGAATGTCTGTTGTGTGTGTATCCAATTCTCTCCCCACGTATGTATACTATATATGGATATTATCATCCAGTATGTCCGTAGTGATAGTGCAACTGTTGAAAATGAACTCAGTAGGGTTCGTCAAGGTTAGTTGACTTGACTGACAGTCAATGGCAATCTGTCCTGTGCTGCTTAGCACATTTGTGAGTTGTCACAGATTAGGAAAATATCGTCGGCATAGTCCAAGCCAGGAAGTCAATCAGCTGAAAGCAGCTCCATACTTTCTAAGCCGTATCCATGAACGTAGTTTCCATAACGTTTTGGTGGCGGAGTTAGAATGGATAAGGGACAGCGGGAAACCTTGTCGCACAGCGCTTAAGAGATTGCAGAGCAGTGAGACTTTGACAAAATACTCCACTCTTTCCGAAATACGCCCTCTGATGCATATACTTCGGACTTACCTTTCCTTATCAAATTATCCCAGAGCACACACACAAATAAATAAACAATAATAGTAAAACCTTCAAAGTTGACCACCTCCCTAGGTTGACCACATTTTCATAGCTTGTACGATCACTATGTAGACCCTAGGCAACCAGACCTCTGTAACTTGTAGGTGGACTACTTGTTCTATCACAGTAATAAATCAACCTCCATAAGTAGACCATTCGGCTCCGCCTCGAAACCCGTACTTCCCCGATATGAGCATGTGAAGGGGACCGGGTGACTATCGCGTTATCCATAGCTCAAGCGCAGCTGGTGGAGGTGGTTGTGTAACAGAAAGGCGTAGGTACGGTGTACCGGCGTACAGCTGATGCCTCTCAATTTGTGTCTCGATGTGGTCTGTTAGGGTACGATGCAAACGATGGGATGCTCGCATTAGTGCGGGATGTGTGTTGTCGACGAAGGAAATGTGTGGGAAGTTAACAGAGGAAAGGGAAAAACAAATAATGAAAGTCATCGTAAATGAGACACATCCGTTGTTCCCAAGGTCACGGCGATCGTTATTCAGTGATAGAGAGGTTTGATGAGTAACAGTCAAACGATCTCTCGACATGCTTCTGACATTGGCCACGCGTGATCTAAAGCAACTCATGCAAACGGTACAACAGAGACCTACCGGCATTGAAGCAGGAGTGAAGAAGTTGATTGGATGAAGGGCATTAGGTAAAAGAAAGAAGAAAGAAGGAGAGAGAATGGCTCAGTAGTACGCCGGTACGCAGTATGCACACTTCGCTGAAGCGCGCAACCATCACCAGTCGCAAGTGGGCTAAAGATATTGCGAGGGTCGCGCCGTCCGTAGGCACGATGGAACCAGCGCCCTCAGATTACAAGGCAGAATTGTGATCCTTAACGCTAAAAGCTGAGCTGTAAGTGCGGAACTTAGAAATAGGAAGGCAGGTAAATATATGAAAGTTTTGACTTAAAATAAACTCGAACAGGGAGCGCGATGGCGGGGCGCGTAATCACAGAGATCGATCCGTTGATCGAGGTTACTGACATTCCAAGAAGCACAGAAAGGCATGGCACCCGAACTACGATGGTTTGTTGCGCCAACATTTCGCTAAAACGTGTGAGAGCCGCTCGCATCTACGCAGGCTCGAAGCGGTGGCATTTGGATTGCAAGCCATATGCCTTAACCGATCGACCACGGACGGGCATACAAGACCGTGTGGGCATAAAAGCGCGACTAGATCGCAGATAAGACACAAACGAGACGAATATGTGAGTGTGGCGGCGCTCTGAATCGATTGTGAGAAAGTGACAACGGCAGACCGGCACGGTGATAATGATAGGCCACACTTCAGGGAGTCGAAATAATGAACATAAAAGTAGGAGGTATATTTAAACATAAACGGAACTTTTGCCATAGCATTTAAATGCACATTGCTAATGTTTTAAGCACAGTCCTCCCTAAAATAGTCTTCTCTGCTGGCAGTACACCGTCCCCAACGGCGCTTCCATTTTGTGATTATCTCCTGGAACACACTTTCTGCGATGGCGCGCGGGTCTCTTCTCGCATTGTTCTGTATGTCCTCTAGGTTTGGAAACAACATCTTTTCAACTTGGTTTTAGACGGGAGGCTACGTCAGGAGAATACGTTAAATGGGGTACAAAGGGTGTTGTATGATTTTCTAGACAACTGCGGACGAGGGGCGACAGGTGATCCGGCGCATTCTCATGAGGTAACCACCACGTCTGGTTTCTCCACAATCCAACTGTCTTTGTGCGCACAGCATCCCTTAAACGCGCTAGAATCCACTGGTATACTTCCTTCTTTACCACCTGATCATGTGGTAGAAATTTCTGATGTGTAATACCTTTGCAGTCAAAAACACAAACAAGCTCACCTTGATCTTCGACCGGCGTAAGTATGCTTTCTTGCACGAGAGTGACCTTTCCTGATCATCCACTGCGACGACTACACCTTCGTTTCAATAACATAGCCATAAACCCACGTTCTTAAGGAACTTTACATTGTGATTGGCAGTGGCAAGAATTCCCTGGCTGATTTCAACAGAATGCTGTTTACATCGTCAGTCAACAAGTGGGGCACGAATTTGTCCCTGATACGAGGCATCCCAGGTTTGTCATTCGAAAGTTGATGACTCGACCCTACTCCGATTCGCCAGCAACCCATCGAACAGTTAAAGGAGGATTTCTACGGAACACAGCACGAACATTCTCGATATGGTTATCGTCCGTCGATTTGAGAGGGTTCACAGGTTTGGGAACGCAACTCGAACAGTCCTATCCGAATGCCTAGCTAAGTCATTGAAATGTTACTGTAAAAGTCCACCAAGTTTGTAGCAAAAATGCAAACGGACATGTAGGCTGTTCTTCAAGCTCTTTAAGGGGAGGGTCTAAGCTGAAAAAGTCAAAAAATGTGTGTTTTTCAAAGCTCGATATATATGTCTAGATATAGTCAGATCTTCATGAAATGTTGCAGGGAATATCGTTATTTATCATGCAAATAATATATGATAGAGAAATAAAGATAGTGTGTTTATTATTATTTTTAATCACATTTTAGTAAGGTAACTAAATTAGTGATGCCGAATTTGTTGTTGTGGCGTTCTGGGTCCCATCAAAAAGTATTCTATGTATAGAGCTAAAATTTTGTGCAGTTATTTAGATATAGTTCAGCTTTAGAATAAACTAAACTCTGTATCTGAATTAAATCTTCCAATACTGATGTTCGGATTTGCAAAAAATTCTGAACTGAGGTGAAAAGTTGCCCACAAGTGTAGGACACTTAAAACTAGTTTATTCCATGCAGGAACTAAAGAAGAGCATCTCTTCCGAATTTTAATGACTTAGTTTTGGAATTATTCTCA